CAAGGAATGTTTAGTATAATGGTCCAATGTTTTCAACAAGAAAGGTTTCCTTTTTTCCCTCTGGAAAAGGCGCTTTGCTCATTGCATAATGGTCTTTTCCCTAACTGGAAAGACAGAACAACACTAAATGTAGACAGGCTTGTGCCAGTGTCTGATTATTGAGGTATTTTTTATAACAAAGAGAAACTGTTTTTTCATTACCTTTACCAAGCTGTCATCCAAACATGAGATTAAGAATTATTAATAACTTTTTGTTTTGCTTAGTTTCACATGTAAAACCTCTCTAATGGGAAAAAAAAAAAAGGCCTTTCTGGCTACTTTTTGGAATTTTGTTATATTGAGAGGACTCAAGATCAACCATTTTCTAGTAATTTTAGACTCTGTTTTAATAGTAGCTTCAGTCTCTTCCCAGAGTAAATTGTTTTTAATTGCTAAAAAGGAAGAGAGCATTTAGTGTTTATATATATTTTTTTCTGTTTTTCATTTTCCCATGTCATGATGCAAACATGTAAACTGAGGAACAAGGCAGAAGGAAAAGCCACGGATCCTAGATGACCAGACGTTAATTAATTTTTCCTAATTAAAGGTATTTGTTTAGTTCTGTGAGCACTTTAGCTACATTATTGATATGATGCCTACAATTATCATATAATTGGGATGATGCCTAAATTTATGCGAACACGCACTTGTTTTGTATGTTGTAAGTCTCAGGAAGAAAACAGACAATGATTTTGGTAGCAAAAACATACCAAGGACATCTGACAATGTAGAAATAAATTCAGTATTATCTGCTGGTAGGATGGCATGCTGGGGCCTCCTAATGTAGGATTTTGGAGACACTTTCCCTTTTCTGTTTAAAAAGTTTCTTTCAGAAAACTGTGTCTACCACATATTCATAACATGTTCTCTTTTCCTAGCTGTACTTTTTCTCAAAACGAGTAATTTCCCCTTAATTCCTTGTCATTTTTTCAAAAAGTTTTTGAACAGAATTTTACAAGAAAACAATTTAGGGTCTTCGTTAATTTTACCTCTTGGGAATTCAAACCTATTCTTGAAATTCCCAGAAAAAAAAAAAAAAAGCCAAGACCTAGGGTTGCTTTCATTTTTCAGATAAATGAGTCTTGGGAGCCAGAGCTGTGGTACAGCAAGCTAAGCCTATGCCTGTGGCACTGGCACCCTCGTGGGTGCCAATTCAGCTCCCTGCCAGTGGCCTGGGAAATCAGTGGAGGGTGGCCCTAGTCCTTGGGCCGCTGCAACTACCAGAGACCCAGAGGAGGCTGCTGGCTTTGGACCGGTCCACTTCCCGCAGCTGCAGCATTCTGGGAAGTAGAGCCAGATGGGGCATCTCTCTCCCTTTCCTCTTTCTAAGTCTGCCTTTCACACACAATTAAAGAAATAGTTTTAAATCTTTAAAAAGAAGTAACATTAAATGACCAAATAGTAAATTCTATCTTAAATTAAAAAAAAAAGATTTATTTGTTTTTATTGGAAAGTCAGATACACAGAGAGGAGGAGAGACAGAGAGGAAGATCTTCTGTCCGCTGATTCACTCCCCAAGCAGCCGCAACGGCTGGAGCTGAGCCATTCTGAAGCCAGGAGCCCAGAGCCTTGTATGGGTCTCCCATACAAGTTCCAAGGCCTTGCATGCAGGGTTCCAAGGCCTTGGGTCATCCTCAACTGTTTTCTCAGGCCACAGCAGATAGCCAGACAGGAAGCAGGGCCTCTGGGATTAGAACCAGCATCCTCATGGGATCCTGGCTCACGTAAGGTGAGGACTTTAGCTGCTAGGCTGCCACGCTGGGCCCCAATCTTAACTTTATTAATTGGTCTCAGTATTACCAACTTTGATTTCTGTTCAAAATGTAGTTCTATTCTCCTGTTTCCAGACATGAAGCTGTAGATCTTTGGCTCTTTCACTTCAAATCTTTGGATAAGTCTAAGAGGTTTGTTAACAGGCCTTTAAAACTTTTTTTTTTTTTGGAGTTTCATTGCATTTATCTCATTGACCTTTGCCTCAGAAAGCATTCAGTAGTCTTCAGCAGAGGGAGACCATGAAAGAGGGTGTTGTAAAGGCTTTATTCTATAAAAGAAGTCAAAGCTTTATAGTTGCTGAGTGATTTAGTTCTCCTACATGCAGAAATTGGCCATGAGCCATGAGTAACATGATGGAAAGCACTCCTAGTCTCACATCCAAGCTTCCCTGAGAGAGAGAGAAGAGAGAGAGAGAGAGAGAGAGAGACTTTCTTTCCTAGTTAAAATCTACCCAGGATAACTGTGAAGCAATGCAGTGTGGACTTGGTAATCTGCTATGTCAGAATTCATGCAGACACGTTGGGTTTTTTTTTTTAATCAACTAAGGAGTAGTTCCCCCAGGGAGAAGGATGCCTGTTTAAATCAGTCTTTTGTGGGCCAAGAACAGATTTGTGAAGCAGAAATAGCGACTATATGGCTATGTTATAGTTATAAGATATCATTTAGTGATTATGTATTCCAAGGTAATACCTTTTTCATACAGCTGGTAGATTAGGCAAACACCATCATTAAAAGTAATTGTTTATTCTTTTGCATACTGAATGCTCTAATGTCTTTAGAAGAATGAGGTGCAATCATGTTTTGATTTACATTTTAAAAGGCTTGGGAATTGGCTAATGAAGTATTAACCATTCTTTAAAAGATATATCCTTTGTCATTTTTTGACGATATAGAGCTGCTTAAAATGACTGCTTCCTTCTTATTGACTCATAAGATATTCCTCAACTTCCTATGCAATAAACATGTTTGCTTTGCTGCATCATTAAATATGTTGGAGTAAGACTGGTAACCTAGGTAGCATGGTGCAATGATAAAAGTCTGGCTCGTTATAGCTGTAACCTCAATTACTAAGTACAAACAGTAAATTGAACTCCTCTGAATTTTCTCAAAAGTGAAATAAAGATTGTAACTTCTATCTTACAGAATTACTTTGAGAATTAGAATACATAGCCTTTTAATTTTAAGACATATTATTTGATTTCATTTTTTTCTAAATGACAGAGAGCTAAGAGACAAAAACCTTGCATCCACTGATCAACTGCTCAAATACCTAGAACAGCCAAGGCCCAGGTCTCCCATGTAGGTGGTGGGGACCCAGTTAGTTGAACCATCCCCTCCGCCCTGTCGTGCAAATTAGCAGTAAGCTGAAATTTGAAAGAAAGCTGGATTGGCTTTGTTTCCAAAGTAAGGCACTTTAATATGGGATGTGGGTGTCCCAAGTAGCATTTTTTTTTTCTTTTAAGATATATTTTATTTTTATTTGAAAGGTAGAGTTACAGAGAGAGTAGAGGCATGAAGTCTGCCATCTGCTGGTTCACTCCACAAATAGCTACAACCGCCAGAGCTGAGCCCATGCAAAGGCAGGAGCCAAGAGCGTCCTCTGGTGTCTCATGTGCTGCAGGGGCCACAAATGCCTTTCCAGGTGACAAGGAAGCTGGATCAGAAAAGGAGCAGCTGGAATTCAAACTGGTACCCATATGAGATGCCAGTGCCAAAGATAGAAACTTAGCCCCCTGTGCCATGGTGCTTGGCCTCCAAGTAGCACCTTTAGCTACTTCACCAAACAACCCACTCCAAGAATATATATTGACACAGATCCTGGGGGGGGGGGGGAGATGGTTCATTTAAAAATTATTATCACTTCTACTATTATTCCTGTTTTCAGATGCTTCTGTTTTATATTATCTGTTAGCCAAAAAATTGCATACTCACTATTTAAGGCTGTGTTGGTAGAAACACAGTTTGATGAGTGATTTCCTAGGATACAGGACTTAAGATACAGTAGTTACTTCTTATGTACGTGACCCTGGGCTCATTTCCTTTCTGGAATGGTTTCATTTGAGAGCAGTCCTACGAGTTGTCATGTGGAATTGTTTTTCCATTCTTTTTTGGCATCCCCTGACATACGTATTACAGAGAAACAAGATATATGGGAGAGAGAACTAAGTTTAAGCTTTAACTACTCAAAATAGATTTTTAGAAATGGAAAGCAAAATTCGTACTGTCTAGCTCAGTGGTTGATGAACAGAGAGGCATGTTTCAAAGTCAAAAGAACAATAGGTTTTTATAATGTAAGTAGAACACACATGGCTGAAAGGTGCTCTACTTTCATTTTGCAAAACTCAGCCCAAAGTTCCAATAACACTCAATTTAGAATTTCTGTTTTTATTGCAGAAACAGAAGTAAAAGAAGTGATAGAGGATTTTTTTTAAAACTGATATACACAGAGGAGGTGTGTAGCTGTTTATATTTTTAGCTTGGACTTGTAAACTGAAATTAACAACCCCCTAGAGACTAATTAGGAGCCGAATCTCTAAACCATTGTCATTGTTTTAGAAAGCAATTCTAACTTAGATTCTCTCCCATCCAATACCGGTGCCTGAATCTACTCAGATGATGAGGCTTACCCCTCTGAGATCCAGAATGAGCATGTGATGGGAGGGCACACAGCTTTTCTGATAATCCTGGTCGTTGTCTTACTGCCTTTCACCTTGTAAAAACTCTCTTAATGCCTAATTTTAGAATTCAGTTTGTATGTTTATTGAGTGCTTATCCAGAAGTTATTAAGTGCCAGATATTATACTTGATTCCTTGGATAGCAAAACAGTTCGGATGTGGTCCCTGAACTCAGGTCACTCCCCCAGGAAAGTGTAACACGTGGAAGCAGCTGATTGTAAGTACACTGTCCCTGTGCTTGTGCAAGGTCTTGGGACTGAGAAGAAATGTGCCTGCTGTGGTGCTGGGGCTTTGGCTCAGGCCTAGAACAACCTAACCAGAAAAACAAGACTTACCAAAGTGAAAGAATCTAGAGCAGCTTACAATTAGGATCAAAGTGTCTGATGTAGAAAATGTGCAGCCAGCAGATCTCTTAGGAACCAACAGAGAGGCGTCTCACGGGAGAAGAGCTTCGAATGCAGGAGAACTTTAACGTTGACTTATTTTTGTCCATTGTCTGCCTTTGTTTGCAGCTCTGGGAATTGCCAGTGCAAAGTGGGTGTCACCGGCTCTACATGTAACCGATGCCAAGATGGATATTACAATTTTAGTAAGGATGGCTGTTCACCCTGTCAGTGCAGTAACCGGTCCACCAGCTGCCATGTCTCCACAGGTACATGCTTTTGTTAATTTTGTCATGTAAGTTTCCATTGTACTTTTCATTGTGTAGTCTTGCAGCTGTCGGTTATTCTTCCTAAATAGTTTATAAGGGCTTTTCTTTTCCAAGTAGACTGTAATAGATCACAGGAAGCCAAACTATTGCTGTACCAATCTGAAAAACAAATATGTAATGTTAAAAAGTGATGCTACTGGGCCTGGTGCGGTAGCCTCGCAGCTTAAGTACTCACTGAGCTTGAGCCACGATCCCACGAGGGTGCCGGTTCTAATCCTGCCAGCCCCGCTTCTCATCCAGCTCCTTGCCTGTGGCCTGGGAAAGCACTGGAGGATGGCCCAAAGCCTTGGGACTCTGCACCCACAGGGGAGGCCTGGAAGAGGCTCTGGGCTCCTGGCTCTGGATCGGCTCAGCTCCAGCCATTGTGCTCACTTGGGGACTGAATGAACAGAAGGAAGATCTTTCTCTCTTTCTCCCCTCCTCTCTGTGAATCTGACTTTCCAATAAAAAAAAAAACAAATAAATCTGCTTTAAAAAAGTGATACTACTTGGAAAGCCACAGAAGCAAGGAAAACTGTGAACACTCGAACTGCAGAAATGGTGGATCTCTCCTGGGGGAAGCTGATGATTACCAACCGTTTTCTTTCCAAGGTATATTTGTTGATTTTTAGCAATAATAATAATAATAATAAAAAGTGAACAAGAAGGCATTAAAGGAAACCTAATGGAAAGACATGTGGGACACAGCCAGAAGGTGTGTTACCAGTACAACTGCAGGGCCAGAGGAAGGGATCAGAGCAGCCTCGGAGGAAATGCTGGCCAAGACCTTTCCAGACTGCTGAAAGACATCAGCCCACGGATTCAGAAGGCTCAGTAACCCCCCCAGTGGCAAATAAATGGTGAAACTGTTAAAAACGAAAGTGACTCTAAATATTCCTTGGGGATTCCTGTCGCCGCCGACAAAAAACATCAGGACGTCCTGATCTGACAGTTACAAGTGTTTTGGTGAGAATGGGGTAACAGGATATGTGCAATTGGAAGTACTCTGGGAAAGGACTGTGTTGAACGCTAATTCTGCATTTGAATCATTCATAGAAAAGCGAAGTAATTTGGAAAAAAAATGTTGTTATTTTCTCTTGCACGTGGTGCTGTTCTTGCCTGCTTGCCGGTTGTGTTTTGTGGCTGTTCTTTTCCTTTTCTATACGTCATTCTGGATTCTGATTCTAAAAGCAAGCCCTGGCCCTGGCCCCCTCATATCTTGTCTTTCTCCAGCATCAGATGGTCTCTATAATCCATCTCTACCCCCACCCTGTCCCCTAGCCATGGGAAGTCATGCTCTTTCTTCATGGTCTTCAACTAAAGGCATGAAATGCATCAACTAAATGGTCTTCAACTAAATGCAGAAAGCATTTCCTGACACTCTAGGCTAGTTGAAAAGTCTCCTGTCACAGGCTTTCATATATTGTGTGTGTTTTTTATAGCCTCTATTTATCTATCTATCTATCCGTCCATCCATCAGTATGAGTCACATAAGATGAGGCTGCTCCACCACATCAGAAGGTCCGTGAGGACAGAAGCAGTGTCAGTTTATTTACCAGGACATACATAATTGCTAGTGTGGAACTCTGCGCATGGCAAGTACTCTGTTAGTTGAGTGAATGAACAGAATGAATGGAAAAACATACAAAGGAAAGATGAACTTCAATACTGGATCGCGGATGGAAAGCTTCAGCTGCCTTAAGTGGCTGCCCAGCTGTTTTCCTGTGCTAGGAAGCATTCTACACGGCTGTTCTTAGTGCTCCTGCAGCGAAGGCGTGTTCCAGCGCCGCCGTCGGGCAGCGCGGGACTCCTAGGCTTTTCCTGCAGCGATGAGGCAGCTGCCTCTGCTACCGAGTCAATGCTACCCCCAGAGGAGGAAGTCTGGAGATGGTTTAGGGCCAGGAAATCCTTGCCATGCTTATGGTTTCTAAGAGCTGCTAGCGATGAAAGAAGTGAATGGTTTCAATGTTTTGTAATATAGTACAAGTGGAATCCAATAGGAAGGCGTGCAAATACAGATTGAAAACCGCAGGATAAAGCCAGTCTTTTACGTCAAATCAGATTTTGTTCTCTAATGCTGTGACATGGCTGCCCTCTGGTGGCCACTTCCTGTTTTCACAGTCTATTTTTCCCCCCTGTCTTTTTCTGTAACTTGGTTGTAGATTTCAGTAGATTTTCAAAATACTCTTTTTTTTTTTTTTAAGATTTCTTTTTTATTGGAAAGTCAGATACACAGAGAGGAGGGGAGGCAGAGAGGAAAATTTTCTGTCTGATGATGCACTCCCCAAGTGACCACAGTGGCCGGAGCTGAGCCAATCCAGAGCCAGGAGCCCAGAGCCTCTTCCAGGCCTCCCATGCGGATGCAGGGTCCCAAGGCTTTGGGCCGTCCTCCCCTGCTTTCTCAGGCCTCAAGCAGGGAGCTGGATGGAAAGCAAAGCAGCTTCCTGGAATCCATATGGGATCCTGGGTGTGCCAGGCGAGGACTTTAGCCGCTAGGCTACCGTGCCATGCTCCGACCAGCGGAGCCAGTAACGTGGACAGGGAGAGGGTCTGGGGATGAAGCACCAACAGGAGACCAGTGATGGTGGAAGTCTCTGCGAAGTCTCCCTTTATTGCGCCTTCACCTCTCCTTATATACTCTTCCCCCCACATCCTCATTTCGCAGGATATTGAATACAGATGAGTCCAATTAGTCCAGGTGCTTTTAGCCACAAGCCCAGTTCCTGTTCCTGCTCAGCCCAGCGAGCACTAATCAACTCCTTAGTCCACAACAGGGCCGGGCCCAGTGGTAGTAATAATTTGAAAAACATTAGATAATCCAATTTCTAGCAATTGGTAATTAAGTGAATAGCCTCATCTTGGCACTGTCTGGTTAGGAGCACGGAAAGTCAAATGGCTTTGCCCTGACAGAGTTGTCTAATCTGTTCATTCTATAAATTTGAGATAAAAACAATAACTGCTGATGGATTGTTGTGAAGACTTAATGCAGTAATTCTGTATAGCTCTGATAATAAGCAAATGGTAATTATTGCTGTCATTAAAATAATGTAAAGAATGACATTTAACATCACGACAATGTAAAACAACCAGGGCATAACATTATCTTTCATGTAGTTATATGATTCTAAAAAGAAAAATCTAAGCTTTAGAAAGAAAGAAAAAGAATAGGAAAAAATATTTCAAAATTTTATGGGGGGTTTCTTAGAGTGATTTTTTCCCTCTATTTCTGTATTTTTCTAGAATTTCTTTTGATTGCGCATGGATTTCCTTTAAAATGGAGACTAGAGATGAATTGTTTTAAAATTTTGACTTTATGTTCACTTTATGATACATTTTTTCAAAAAAATAAAGGTTTATTAATTTTCATGACAGAACTGCCAAGATGGAGAGACAGAGATCTTCCCACCCATTGGTTCGGTCCACACGTGGCTGCACCCACCTGGTGGCTAAAGCCATGAGGCAGGAGCTTCATCCAGGGCTCCCACATGGCTGTCAGGGGCCCAGGCACTTGGGCCATCTGCCTCTGCTTTCCCAGGCGCACTAGCAGAGAGCTACAAAGTGGGGCAGCTGGGATCCGAACCCCGGGCAGGTGGGAGCTTGTGCCGGCCCCAGTATACTTCTAACAATTAAGTCCCCTTCATGTAGTTGCAGTGTCCCGTGGTAACTGCTTTGAGCTCAAGGACTTGCTCCCCTCAGGATGCCCTGTACGCCTGGTCTTATTCCTGCAGGACTGTCTTTTCCTTCTCAGGCAGCTTTGCTGAGTCTTCTTACACCTCAGACCTTGATCCTGTTCTCCCCGTTTACATTTTCTACCTAAGTTAAGGGAGATATTTAATTTAAATGCCATTATATTTGTGCTTTCTGTTATCAGATTCACATTGATTTCTCCCACGGTTTTACACTCAAACATCCAACAGACAACTTCACTCAAGTGCTTTAACTGGCATTCTAAAGCTAACACATCCAGAATAATGTATTTTTACTGTGTAAGCTAAGCTTGCTCTGCCCTGGTGTTCTGCCTTTTGCTAACTGGCCTCATTTACCCGGCTGCTGTCACAAAGCCTTCTAGTCATTTTGGAGTCTTTGGAACACACGCTGGCTCCTTCTGCTCTCTATGGCCCTCGTGGCGTCATCCTTATTCCAGCCACTGTCACTCCCTTTTGCCTCCTTGTGTCCTCACAGTCCAGACTCCGCATAATCCGCCCTCAGAGTAAAACGGAGATCCCTGACTGTGACCTCATGAACCGCTGTGCTGTGACACCTGCCTCTCTAACTCTCCCTTATTCAGACTCCACATGACCTTCTTCCAGTTTGACAGATTAAAGTTTGCCTTCTAGAGACAGAGGTCAGACGTCTGTTCTGAAGACAGAGTACACTGGTATGCTCCTGACATGTTCTTGTATAAAGTATGAAATGGCCAAATAAATAAGGAAAGAAGCAAAAGTTTTTTTATAGGCGCTAATTTATCTTTCCAAAGTTTTGTCTTAAATTTGTTTGGTCCTTTCTTGGACCAGTTATTTTCTTGGTTACCCCTGCCAGATTTTTGAGATGCTCAGGCCAAGAATGTGAAGTCATCGCCCTTCTTCCTCGTTTTTCTTTTCTCCATTTTTTCCCTCTGGATGAATTCCCCTTTTTTTCAGCAAAGAGAATGTGAACTTTAAGGCCGTGTTGTATTTCACACAGTTACCAGCATAATGAACAACACAGCATTTCAGCTAACTTTTACAGAGCACTTATTGAAAAGGGAAGTTTCTCAAAATTTAGATTGCAAGGGAACATCTCATCTAGTTCAGTTTCCTTAATTTATAAATCAAAAAGGAGAAAACACCATATTTCATGGCATAGTACTTTACCCCTTGAAATAGTCACGTTATATCAGTAGCCACAGAATTATTATCCCATTCAACAGATTAGGAAAGCTGAAACTCGAATAAACTATTTGTTGAAGGTCACATAGCTGG